TGTGTGTGTGTGTGTGTGTGTGTGTGTGTGAGAGAGAGAGAGAGAGAGAGAGAGAGAGAGAGAGAGAGATATGGATTGAAACCAGGGCTTTTGCACTGATCTATATCTTCAGCCCTTTATTTTGTACATTTTGAGAGAGCATCTTGCTAAGTCACTAAATTTCCCAGGCTGGATTCAAGCTTTTTTATCTTCCTTTTTTATCTTCTCAGCCTCCCAGAGTGCTAGGATTACAGGTGTGCCCCACCACACCTGGCTCCCCACCCAATTTTTGCTGCCAACTCTTGGGGCTGTGACAAGCCACTGGGACAAGAAGTCTGAGTTGGAAGAACTAAGAGTTAGGGGAAGGAGCACTGCTCCTGGCAAGGGATGTGACCAGGAAGATGCCCCCACAGCCAGGCAGAGGATGCTTCCTCTGCAGAAGGAGAGGATTTACAGGACACCTGCTTTTCACAGGGGAGCACGCCTGACCCTTCCAGAGGGCAGACAGCTGGTGATCCATTGTCCTGTGCTGGGCCGGCTGGCTGCAACAGAGACTGTGGGACCAGGGCCTGGGGGAATGGAATGGGGCCAGGAAAGTTGGTAATAAATGCTGTGCTCCTGGCAGTCACCTCACCATCCTCCTGGCTCCTTTCAGAAGTTGCTTGAGGTATATGGGTGACAGGAAGACAGGATGGAAATCAGGATGGGGAGAAAAGATCCTGCAAACTGTGACCATGTACCCAGGTGAGGAAGCCACAGTCCCACAGGACCCCAGGATCTGTGGGCAGAGTATGGAGACCCCTATCAAGCTCACTCAGGTCCTGCTCCATAGCTTCCTCTCTTCGCTTCCCAAATCCCGACACAGGGCCAGGGCAGGACGCTGTGCCCCTTCCTCAGTCACCTCTGCTCAAGGCCCTGACACTGCTACCTCCAGCCCAAGTGCATGGGGGTGGAGGAGCAGGACCACAATTCCCCTGCCCTGCTGTGGCTCAGCTGGAGCAGGTCCCTTTCCTGGTCCCGTCCACAGCATAGGGTGGGCCAGAGGCCCTGGTCAGCTTTGTCCACCATGGCCTTCTTGGGAACAGAGTCTGAAGCTCTGCCTGCCTGGGAATACTCAGGCCACACCAGAGGACAGGACAAGGCTGTGAAGTTCAGGGTGTGTGAGCACATGTACAGGGGAGGGGCACAGGGTTGAACAGTACCACCTGGTGCTGGGACAGGCACCAGGCCCTTCCTCTGCCCAGCCCCAGCTTCTGTCTGCAGAGCCCACCTTTGTTTCCTCCATAGATGCTAAACATTCAGCCAACCTCTGCTGTGGGGCAGGCTCAGCAGAGTCCAAAATGGTGCTGTCTCCAGTAGGCAGCCTTCTGCCAGCCCCCACCCAAACTGTGCTGTCAGCTGCAGGAATGATTGCTGGCTTCCGGGCTGAGAGCTGGTTCCCGGCAAGGCTGGGAGACAGAGCAGTGAGTCAAGAAAGTCAGCCTTCAGCCTGGCACCGGAGCTCTGGGGAGGAGGAGCGGGCTTGGCCTAATGCCACTAAGGGAGGCGAACCAGGCCTACGGGTGCTTCCAAGCCTCTACCCTTTCTCAGACAAGGAGGCACACCAAATGCGCACTCCCAACTTCTTGAACAGGGACAGCTGGAAGCCGGGCACGGAAAGCCACCTCGCCGCACACTGCGGGGGCGGGGCACCGCTGCAGACAAAAGACTCCGTTCTAGAGGCTCAAACGCGAGCCACTCCCAAGAGACCAGGGCCATTCTGCGCAGACCCCAGTCCTTGCAGACCCGACTTCGGTCTGCTCGCCGTGCCCTCCTGTGAAGGTTAGGAGCCAGGCTGTGCCCTCGTCTCCTTGAAGGAGAGCAGTGGTGGAAGTCCGAGGCCTTCATCATAGGGTTGCTCAGCCCGCTGTGCGCCGCACACGTCCGCATCGAACCCACCCTCCCCTCCCCGCAGTCCCCGTCCAGGTGGCGCCCTAGCGTGCACCAGAGTTCATGGAGCAGGTGACATCAGGGTGAGTCAGGCAGCAGCCTCCTCCCCGACTCATCAGGCCACCGCCTGGCTCAGGCCCGAGGTCAAAAGCGAAGCTGCGTTCTCAGAGCCGGCCGCGCACCCAGGCCTCTCACCCTCTGGCAGCCCTGAGCGCCCTTCGAGCAGGGGAAGGTTGCGCCCGCTCTGGCCCTGCCTGAGGTCTGCCTTCCTGGGGATCCAGGGTCAGCTGCAGGCTTCCCTGCCCGCCCCTCGCGGGGTCCAGCGGGCGTGGAGAGACCGACAAGTCCCATTGTCCTTCG